GCTGCAGGGGACTGATTCATTTCTTTTCAAAAGCGAGCACTTTGCTCCCCAAGCCTCTGTCACCCTGGGGCAGGAATAGTAACGCCTTATGGGGTCCTTATGAGAGGCAAATGAGGTACTTTATAGCGCTGGCAAGACCGGATCGGACACATTTCTTTTTTCACTATTTAAATAGAATTTCTAAACCATGCATGAGATGAACCAGGTAGGAAATAAACCACAGGTTGCAGAAAGGTGGAGATAAATCTGAAGTTCTTTGAAGGTGTAATTTGGTTTAAAAAAAAAAAACACAGCAACACTGACACATGCTTGTTTTCAGCCTCAGCCCTTCTCTGTGGACTACAGCTTATACTGTGCTTGGGGGGTGTGACACTGAGGCTCTTGAGCTTCGAAATACCTAATTCAGGGGCTCAAAGCCTTTAAGGCACTAGCCTGCCGTGACTCCCTTTGCCCGGCAAAGCAATAAAGCTGTTTTTTTCTATCTTTAAAAGAGAGAAAGAAAAAGAAAAAGAAATACCTAATTTAGCAAAATTCTTTCTTGCTTTTCCTGTCGCAGACCCTCTTGGGTGATAAGACATTAATTTAAATGTTAGTGAGAGTTGCGAAGGAGGTCCTAGACTTTCCCTCCTTTTGGTGGTTTGAAAGAACTGAATTGCTTGCTAAAGCTGGCTGGCTCTTATCCCTGACCCTAAGACCATAGTTCGTGAGCCCCTAGAGGAAGAATCTTTGGAGGACTTAATTTCTTTCTAAAATTCTTGTACTATTAATCTTATGTGAAAATACTACCCACATAAAGTTAGACTTTTAAAATATTCCATACGATACAGAGATCAAAACAGAATAAAAGAATCGCGCGGGGAGTCCTTGGGGTGTAATATCTAAAGGGAGATGAGAAAATTAGGCGCACCAGGACCGACCACCTGGACCAGGGGCTCACATAGAGATGTGCTTTCCTCGGATCAAAGGACGTTGTCGGTGTCGAGAACTGATCTGCGGTCTCGCTGCGACACCTGGTGGCCGCCGCATCTGCCCATCTGCGGCCACAGCGCGCAGCAGCGCCACCTGGCGGGAGCCATCGAGCCGACTCCCAGGAGGGCTGGGGAGGGTCTTTTACTGAATCAGAGCCTGAGCGGGGAAGAAAATACTCAGGACCCCCGAGGCCCTGTCCTGCTGGGCGCTCTGATACACGCAGAGGTGAGGAGGAGGTGTGGGTGAGGTCTGATTATCTGCTCTCCGTCCGACACTCTGCCCTGCCTGGTGGTGCCCAGCCCAGTATCTGTCCTGGCACGGTGCTACGTGGGCACCTCTGAGTGAGAGAGTGGAGGGTGGGAGGGTGTAAGGTATAGCTCGGGGGGGGGAGGGTTCAGCTCAGTGGTAGAGCGCATGCTTAGCACGCACGAGGTCCTGGGTGCAATCTCCAGAACCTCCTTTAAAAAAAAAAAAGAGTGCCAGTATTTTCTGTGCGGAACATTATTCAATCATAAAAAGGAATGAGTAATGATACATGCTACAACGTCGTTGAACCCCAAAAACATTACATTAAGAAGCTGCCACAAAAGGCCACATCTTCTATGATTCCATTTAAAAGAAATATCTGGAATGGGCAAGTCCATAGAGACAGAAAATGGACTGGTGGTTGTCTAGGGCTGGGGAGAGGGAGGGGTGTGGGAGGGGGCTGTTCATGGGTCCAGGGCTTCTTTTTAGGGTGACGAAAATGCTCTAGAACTAGACAGTGGTGATGGTTGCACAGCACTGTGAATGTACGAAATGTCATTAATGGCAAATTGTACGTTATGTGTATCTTACAACAATGAAAAAAGAAGAAGAAAAGACAGGCAGGTTGTGATCATTTGGAAATCTGTAGAACAAGCCTGCTGCCCTGAAGAAAGCGATGCTAAGAGATTGAAGATCTTTGACATCGTCCATTTTGCTCAAATAAACTTATGTGCACAGTTATCGGATTTGCCTCCTTTTTAGAACGGTAACTCAATGAGCTCAGACACGTTTCCTGGGCAACTTGCTCTTTCTCACTTAATGACACATCACAGACACCCCTCGCGGCCGTCCCTTGGCCTGGATGTACAAATCAAGTCAGTTGTTTAATGCACGGCCCTCCTTCCCACTGGTGGGCATTTGGAGCCTTTCCGGGCACTTGCCGCCAGGAACAGCTGCTGTGAACATTCACACGAGACGCACATCTCACATCCTGGGGCTTTGTCTCTGTAGGACAGATTTACAGAATCGGGCAGCCAGACCTTCAGAATACCTACTGTCAGATCGGAGCCCTGCGAGGCTGTGGGACTCTGCAAGGCCCCGCTCCTGAGAGACAGCCGGGGACGCGCACGCACGTCACAGCACCAGGCGTTGTCGGTGTTTATAATTCTTTCCAGCTGCAAACTGACAAGGCACGCCCACCAAATGGGTCGAAGGGGATACTGCATTGCTGCTCTGGTTTGATTTGACAACCAGGGTGGTCAGTCTCCCTGTCTGTGCCCAGGTTTGGGGGATCCACAGACCCTCCCAGGACAGGACGAGAGTTACGAAAGTTCTCCCCAGAAAATGTGTGTGCGCAGACATTTTGCAGACAATTCCAGGGGCTCAGGCAGAGGAGCCCGCCTGGGAGCCCCCACTGCTGAGCCCCGCTCTTGAGTGTGCAGCGTGGCGCAGACTGCGGCAGCTCTGACATTTCCGGGGAACACAAACACCAGCGTTTTGCTAAATGTTAATGGGCCTCTGTGCCCTCTGCTGGATGCCGGTGCAGTCGGTGCGCACTGCGGAGGGAGAGCCGAGACACTGGAATTTTCCTCTGCCTCAGAGTTCTTTTTTTTTTTTTGTCTCCAGCAGAACTGGTCCTAGAGTTTTGGGTTCAGAACGACTTTCTGGAAGTTGCTGAGGAAGCCCTGTACTTAATACTAAAATCAGCAAGTTTCAGGAAAATTATTTATCTCCTGCTTTGAGAATGATTAGTTCTGGATGGAGGCTCATTGTAGAAGGTTTGCTGAAAATTGATGAGCCTGTCTGGAAACCGGGAAAGTATTGATTCCCAGTGAGTAAACATTTTAAGCAAATTAAGTGGTGGCAGTAATCGTAGTGATGATGGCTACTATTTTTCAAGCGTCTGCTCTGTGCCAAGCGTTTAATTCCTCCAACGATGACGGGGCGGATTTTATCACCCGAATGTTACCGACGAAGAAACTGAGGCTCTGAGAGATGCAAGGGCTTGGCCCCATGCCACACGGCTGGTGGCAGAGGAAAAGTCTAAACCAGACCCATCAGACTGCAGGCCCAGGCTCTGCCTCGGGGCTGCGGGGTCACACCGACAGGGCTTCAGGCCCTGGGAGCACAAGTCACGTCTCTCGTCTCAGCCAGGCTGGGATGGAGGTGAAGGGGGCCCTCAATGGACAAAGAAGCTGGGGCCCTTGGGAGGTAACCGTTTGCCCCAAGTTCACATACTTCACATAGTTAGGAGTGAAAAACGGAAGAGACTCCTGGCCCACAAATATACTGAAAACCAGACAATATTAATATTATTAAATCCTAGCAAAACACTGTTGCCTACAGAAGATCGCTCTGGGTATTTTTAAAAGGGAGATTAGCGAGGGTCGGGGAGGAATCTGAGACAGTAACATCACACAGGGGCTTTCTCCATGTTGGAATTAAAAGGAAGGAGCGGGATTCGTAAACGGAATCACTTTCTCACCCTGTGTTGCTTTGTCACTTAACACAGCATCGGGAGCCACCTGAAGTCCCCTGAGGTGCCACCAGTGGGTGCCATTCTGCCTCTCTAGGAATCTCTGGTCGGAGCATACGCTTCTGTAAAGGAGCATTCGGGTCTGGGACGGAGGGAGGAATCAGCGGCCAGAGCCCAGACGCACAGCTAAAACCTCAGGGACGAGTCTTTGGAGAGAGGAGGCAAGGTGCCCAAGCCCTGGATAGAGCTGAGACACCCAGCTGGTGAACAGGGGTCCAGAGGGGCAGCCAAGGCACCCTCCACCCCCAGGTTCCAGAGGATGCTGGTGACCAGGCCAATAGACCGGATGCAGAAGAAAACTCAGCCACCCCTGAGACAGTGGGGACAGGAGGAGGGACCAGAGGCTGGACGGCGGGGAGCCAGGGTCAGCCAGGCCAGGCTTGGGCAAGATGTTTAAGTCACCCACCCTCCAAACCCCACAGTTGTTGTGACCTCTTTCTAATCAATACTGCAGTGGCTTCCAGAAAGGACTGGAGGCAACTTACAATTAAATGTATAAAGGGGGAGATCTAGCTCAGGGGTAGAGCACATGCACAGCATGCACAAGGTCCTGGGTTCAATCTCCAGTACCTCCATTACAAAAATAATAATAAAATAAAATAAATAAACCTAATTACCTCCACCACCACCCCCAAAAAATTAAGTGGTAAAACAAAACAAACAAATTCGGCAAGACAGGGAAACTCATTATAACTCATTCAGGAGAAGAGAAAAGTTAGGGAGAGCGGGGCTGGGCATTTGCCCCAGGTGGGTGCTAACCGTGGCTCTAAGCGTCCCAGCAGCCAAGGTAAGTGGAAATCTGTGGGGGTGGGGGGGTCCCCAGCAGCCATCATCCGCTTAGAATGAACAGTCCAACTGTCAGTCCAGTCTTCTGTGGCTGTGGACATATTTATTGAATAGGGGACGCAGGCTTGTTTGAATATAATAGCTAAGATGTTAAGACCGTCTAAAATGAAGAGCCCCCAGGACTTACAAAGGCGTCCGAACGACCCTGCCTCGGGCTGAGCGGCAGCTCACCACGGACACTTTGGAACTCACCCAGCTCCTGACCACATGTTTCACAGAACTGGGGGCGTGTGAAGATAGAGTGCTTCTCCCTCCAAAGTTTTAGGGACAAGTGTCAGGCAGCTGGCTCGCCCGGCGATAAAGACAGCACAGCAAAGCTCTCGGAAAACACATGACTTTGAGTCATGCCACTTGTTAAGTTAAAAGGGTGCCCAGGTCCCCCTGCCAAACACACCTCATTAGCTAAATGAACTGACCCCGCTGGTCGAAGTGATTTAATATCTGCCTATTGACTTTGGAGAACGTCTGCCAAACACATGCTCTCTGTTGTGACACAGTTGATACTGAGCTGTATTTTTTTTTCCTGACTACTATTTGTCAAACAGATTGCTGAGCTGGGTGCAGCCAGTCCACCGAGTGTCAAGCCGTGTCATCGACGCGGATCTCACTCGCACTGACAGCAGGAAACGCGGCCAATTAACGTGAAAGCAGAATCCAGTGGTTGGGATGCAAGTCTGAAAGAAGGGCGGGTCAGCAGACAGTCCCATTCTCCAGCACCTTAAAAAAACAAAACTTCAACCATGGAGAGACTGTGGCCACGCAGACTGATTCTGGAAGTTGGGTCAGGATGGATGGCTTTAGGGAAGCATCGTGGCTGCGGGATGGGAGGGTGGGCAAAACGTGTCACCCAGCAACACCCATTCCCACCCTGTGGCTTCAGAGCCATGGAATGTTCCAACGAGCCTCAGGTTGCTTCCACCTCCTTTCTCAGTGAGACGAGTTAGTCTGTTAACGGCAGACAGTCCCATTCGTGTGCCTCAGATCTCCTACTCCTTCTGTACCCTGGGCTGATCTTAAAAAAATTCAAGCCAATGCTTTAAAAAAGCAGAACTTATCATATCAAAAAGCCGGATTTCCAGCTCTGGAAAGCTCTGGAAAGATCTAGCTGCCTTTGTCTCACTTTTCTGCTGGAGCTGAGTCATGGCACCCTGGTCAGACAAGGGTGCGCATGTCAGTCTGCCCCAGTCCTCACCTCTCCCTCTTGTCTCCCACACCAGCTCACTCACCCACAGGGCAGGCCACCCAGAGGTCTACAGCTTTTGTGGGGCATGGAACCTCGAGTTAAGCATAGACACTGCCCTGCAGTAAGGATGGTGAAGCCACCCTACTTCTGGCAGGAAAGGCGGGAGCTAGCGAGAGGAGGGTGCTTGGACCTTTGGGGATGGAAAGAAAGGCAAAAAGCAGCTGCCAGCTCTGATTCCCTCTCCTACAAGCTCATCATCTTCTTTTATGCCATGTCCTCCAAATCCAGTGCCGACTCACCACCTTGAAGCCAAGAGCTATCAGGCAGCCCTCGTGGAGAACCAAGCTCTCAGCACCCCCGACCCCGCCAGCCTCATGTCTCCCCCAATCCTGCCACTGACTCAGGCAGCAGACCCCTCCAGGAAGGTTCAAGGAAACTTCCAGAACGTTGCTAGCTGTGAGAGCACCTAGTTCCATGAGTTTTACAAACTGAAATTCTCAGGTCACCCTGCACACTGACCTCACGACATCTGCCCGTCCTCGTTTTGTCCGGAACAACAGGGCCATTGTCATTATCGCTATTACCCCTGTTACGCCGATGCATTAGATGGTGTCCAGACGGGAGGGGAGGTAATTGGTTCCCATCACCCCAAGCAGCGTTCCTGGCTACAATGAACAAATAGCTCAGAATTAAAGGCTGGCATGGGAGCCTGTTCAATCCGTAATGGATGAGGAAATGAACACAAATTCACCCCCTTCCGTCAGTCCCCTCCCCAGGTCATTTGCCAACAGGACAGGTCATCTCGTATCCGATGCAGATTAATTGCCGTGTTTCCCTGCCATCCTGCTCCGCGGGGGACGTGAACTCCGGAGAGTGGCCCCGAGTCAGTGCCGGCGCCCAGACATTCCCAGCGGGAGCTACTTCTGGCTCTCCTTCTTGGAGCCAAACCCGGTCTTAAGTCTCTGAAAACCCTTGTTCATGACGGGGTTGGTCAGGCCCTTGGTCCCCAGCTTCGTCATCCAGTAGAAGAGGAACATCCGCCGCTTGCTCTGGCTGCCGCTTAGGCGGCGGGCGACGGACATGGGCGTCTCGCCCTTGGCATCCCTGGCATTGACGGAGGCCCCATGGTTAAGCAGGAGGCTTACACAGTCCAGCCGGCCCATGGCTGCGGCTACGTGCAGGGGTGTCCTGCCCACGGGGGTCCTGCCGAGACAGTTGGCTCCTATGAAATAAGAAAGTTGGCTGAGGGAGGACCACCATGCTGGCTGTGAGCCACACCTTCAGAAACCTATCCAAGAAGAGAAGCACAGGAGGGGTCGAGGCTGGGAACGGAATGCCTGGGAGAATTAACAACTGCCCCCACCCCTGGCACCCAATGCAGCAGAGGGGGGCACTGCTGCTCCCCTCAGCATCCAGCACTGCCTTGCCTCCCGTGTCCTTCTGATGCCAGCCAGTGATCTTCCTATGATGCCCTTATCACTCCCTCTGCTGCTCAAATTCCCTTGTTAGCATCCACAACACTTGGGGCCATATTCTAGGTGTTTACTGCGCCGTCTCACCCCACCTCCCCTTATCACTCCAGGTTTAGCCCCCTCCCCAGTGCTCTTCCTCCCTTCCTCTATGCTCCACTCACATCAGCCTTCTGGCTTTATCCCTTCAGTATACCTGCTCCCTGATCCTGCCCCAGGATCTCTGCACATGCTGTTCCTGTTGCTAACACCACTCTCATATCCTTCTGTTTGTATTTTGTTTTCTGGGCTAACTCTAACTTCTTGAGATTTCATTCACTTCCCCTGGAAAACCTTCCTTAGCCACCCCCCTTCTCCATGAATCCCCTGCCTTTGCTCAGTAGACATTCTGCGTCTCCAGAACACGCCACACACCATTGACCATGGAATTAATTATTTGTAATAATTTGCTGACTTCCCTTCATAAACTCCACAAGGGCAGAAAACACACTTGTTTTGATCACGGCTGTTTTCACCCTCAGCACGTAACACGATGCCCAGCGAGGACAGCCGCCTGGAATATGACAGATGACCAGCAGCCTGTCTCATGGACAGATTTCACTTCGATTGAATTCCTCCCTGCCTTCTGCAGATGGATGGACTAATGACAGTTGTCCAATATGGACTTGTTGAATTGAATCAAATTCTGGGTAACAAATATCATGACACAGAAAACAAGGCAATTCAACTACAGGCAGCTGACATTTTGGTAGCCAGTTTTTATGAGCTATGGCTGGTCGGTGAGCTAGAGTTTTAAATAGGTTCTCACAACGCCCAGCCTCGGCCCTGGCGCCTCTTTGCAGCCACTGTCTGCAAAGGACAGAAAACTTTGCAAAGCAGGCTGCAATTTTTTAACTGGTGCTTCCAAATACATCCCAGTTCCATCAGAGTGAAAATGACTTCTTATGAGCTTAAAGGACTGCTGGGCTGTGAAAAGCCCATACTTCATCGTACAATAGGCAAGTCCAGGAAGCAGGGGAGGAAGAGGGGAGGACATCGGGAGAACCTTCACCCATCACAGACACGTGATCCCATCATCCTGCCTGGGCTTCTGAGATGTTTTCCCAGCTTGGCTGGTGGAAGTGGGGGAACTAGCACAGAGAGCCTGGGGTCAAAGCCAAAGCCTGGGAAGAGGGAGGTCTCATTAGGAGACAAGTTGATATGGGAGACCCTCAGAGGAGGCTCCCTCCTGAGCCTCAAACCGTTGACCGAATGCTACGTTCTCCCTTTTCCCCAGGAAACCTGGGCTGTCGGCAACTATTGCTTATGGCTCGTGAAGGGTCTACATCTCAATCGGTGGCCTCTTTCCCCCCAAAATATCTCCCATCCAAGGAAGATAAAGTATACATCCAAAAACCTCAGGCACAGCCCTTTAATTCAGAGACCAGGTGGGCTAAGGCTTCTATCTGTGGATGGAGAGAGAGAGAGAAATTGCCTTTTGGTGGAGGAGAGAGAAAAAGAGACTTTGGGGCAAATAATTCGAAGGCTTGGAGAAAAAGGAGATCGGTCAGCCTGTCAACCACCAAGAGAGGGATGCCGGCCTGGGGTTAGGCCCCTCAGGTCACTGCAGACATGGAACTTCAAGTGGGGAAGGAAGAACACAGGCGGTTTGGGGATCTCCCCAGCAGTGTGTCTGCTCGGACATAACAAGCCAGGAAACCCTTTCAGCTGCTCCTTGGTCTTGGTGTCCTGAAAGGTCCATCTCCCCACAACAGAATGCATCTTCCTGAGACCTGGCCAAGAGAGGGGACACAGCCTCCGATTAACAGGTCCTAAGTCCCCTGAGACAGGGACTGAGTGGCCCATGATGGTGCTTGGCAAACCTGGGTCCAGGGAAGCCACTGCTGAAGGTCCAGGAGGACAAGCCACGCTGTCCCCTTTCCCTGCAAAAGGCTCCCCCCACTCTTGAACATACTCAGCTTCAATCAGAATTACCGTGTTCTAGAAGGTACTGCACCACCTCCACATGACCTCGGTGCGAGGCGATGTACAAAGCCACGAACGCTCTCTGAGACACCCATGTCTTCCACTGCTGGTTGTTAAAACGCTGTGAATTTGCAGTCTGGTAGAAAGAATCTTCAGTAACACCGAGGAAAGACAGCTGGGCGAGAGAAACAGAGACCAGCCCCGTGAGCCTGAGTGGCCGCAGGAGCGCAGACACACCTGGCTGGGGGGCGACTGACGCTCCCGAGGAAAAGCTCACTCAGACGCCAGATTCATGCTGGGATCAGAGAGGGGCAGCCCAGGACGGCGCAGCTGGAAGCCGCCCAGGGGGTGACATTGTGTAACGCTCTATACATGGCCAGGAAATACGAATTTACCGTCGGGCAGGCTGGGGAGGCAGGAAATTCTTCCTGTCCATGTTTTGAAGAGAGAAAATAGCTTTTCTGGGTGTCCAGAGGAAGGTGGTTGCGAGCACAAGGAAGACCCCGGCCGGCACAGAACGGCCTCCCCAGAGGGGCGCAGGCTTCCCTAGAGACTTGATGAATTCTGGTCTTCCGGGCTATTTTGGGGCCCATTGTCTCTGCTAACTTTTGGAACACTCTGAACTCTGCTCCCAGATGAATAATAGCCTCGCGATGTCATCATCTCATGGTGAATTAAGGCTCTGAGCACGGGGGAGAGACAGCGGGCTCCAGCAGAGAGGAGCCCTGTCCCAGATGCGGGGCATCCCGGACAGGGCAGTGAAGGAAGTGAGGGCCCCCGGGCAGGGTGATGGCAAAACTCTGGCTCAAGACAGGAGGGAATCACCCCATGTCCAGGGTGGAAGCCCAGGCGCAGACACGACTGCCCCAGGCAGAGGCGAAGCAAGGAAGGAGGTGGGGGGGGATCGGAGAAGGAATCAGAGGGTTATGCCAACAGCTGGGATGGAACCCAACCATCCTTCCAAGGCTCGGGCACACAGGACAGGCAGTGGGGTTCCCTGCCTCCCAGAGCCCACCTGCCCTCCCCAGACCTAATCCTAGCCCTCTCTCTCCCCCAACCTGATCCCCATCCCCACCAGAAGTAAACTCCGTCTCTTCTCCACAAGCTCAGAGTTTTTCATCCAAATTTATTTTCCAGAAAGAACAAGCACTTGCCCCCTCGTGTCCGAGTGATTCATCCTCACTGTAGGGTGGACATCCTAATCAGAGCCCGGCCGAGAGCCCAGCTCGAGGTCTGGCCACGAGAGGAGACGCCCGCTCTGTCTCCAGGCGGTGTGAGGTCTCTCCCCGCTCTGGCGGGGGCAGCCCCTGGGAGGGGGTCTGCGGCATCCCACGCTCTGGGCTGCACACTTGCAAGTTATCTGGGGTTCTCCACTGTTACATTAGGTTTTCAACTTTACAAAATATACATGCGAATAGAAAATGTGCTGCCCTGATTCTTTTTGGGGTGGGGGAGAGTGGGTTATAAATCACAACTAGGCGAACATGGTAAAATCGCAAACCCAAAGAGCAAATGGAAACACTCACTGTAGTATCTGGTCATGGTAACACGAGTCCTTGTTATCTTTTCTCTCTACTCAGAAAATTTTGCTCAAATATTCACATGAAAGACTAAGCGATTCCTGCCCCACCCACCCCCGTGCACGCGCGCGCACACACACACACACACACAATTTACAGTTGCTTCATTAAGTAGAAGGTCCATTTAAAGAAGCGTGAAGACACCTTACTGGAATCTCCTTCCACAGCCGCCAGAACGAGGTCCGTCCATCCATCATAGTGCCAGACACATAATGAAATAATTCCACCAGGAACAACACCATAGAACTTCAGTGGAGCGTCATCCATCAAAATTCCTGCAGGGAGTCATTTTTTCTTTAAAAAGAAAAATTGAATATTAAAGATAAACTATTACATTAGTTAAGGAGATGATCTGACCTTGGATATCACAGAGATCATTTTAGAACCTCAAGCACTAATCTCATTTGACAACTCCGCCTCAGTCTGTGGTTGTTAATGGTTTTTAGAAAATTAATTTGGCTTAGCTCAAATAGAATCCAAACCAAAAAAAAAAAAGGCAATGATTGATAAACTCTGTACTTATAACTTGTCCTATTGCAAAAAAAGTACATGAGTGAAATAAAGTCAATTTAGGAGACAAACTCTAAGTAGAACTACCTGAGCTTGAAGTAACTGTATATTACAGACATGACGCAGCCTGGTATTACAACTTACATACGTTAAGCTGAAACAGTAACTAATTCTGGTCAATGCTGTCATCAGTTAGCTTAAAGAGGTAATGATGACAAAAATCTGTTGGATGTTTTAAACTCTGATCTATGGCAACATTTCTTAACCCTGGCGCTACTGACACGCAGGACTGGCTGATTCTCTGCTTTGCGGTCTGTCCTACTTACGGCAGGGTGTTTAGCTGCTTCCCTGGCCTCTATCCACCAGATGCCAGTAGCCTACCCACCTAGTCGGGACCACTAAAATGTCTAGACGGTGCCAAATGGCCCCTGGGGGACAAAACTGTCCCCAGGGGAGAACCTCTGAAAATGCACGCGTCGTAACGTTGACATCCACCAGAATTTGGACTCGGGATGGGAAAATTCCTTTTCTGTGTCATCACCCAAAACAGCCCCTGACTCACATGAAAAAAATGGGGTGGGTGAATCTATTCACACTTCTTAAATTCAGACTTTTGGGGGAAGACCGTCAGCATTAGTAGATTAGGACTATAGAACATTTTAAGAAAACGAAGTTGCTTTGGGCTTACCTTTTTAAATGCACACACACCCCCCTCTTACCCGGCCACCTGTAGTCTTGCTTAGGGATAAGGGGACTAATTTGCTCTCTCCAATAAGCAGTGCCCAAAACATCATGTCTCAGCGCTGCCCAGGTTGGATTATTATTTATTCCGAGTAGAATTCATGAGTTTTTTTGGTTTCCTGAGTGAGTGAGTGCTAAGTGCCTTTACTCAGCTCCTGCGTTCTTTAACCCTCGCGACAAGCCGGGCTGGTCACTTCTGACTGCCGCGGGAGCAGACAGAGGCTCGCGAGGCCAGGGGACGGCAGAGCTGGGCAGACGCGCCTTCCCGCCAGCACCGCGCGCCTCTCAGTCCTGACTTCTTTGCCCCCTGTTGGTTCCCCGCAATTCCGGGTGGTGGATGTAAACTCGGTATAGTGATTAGAAAAATCTGTTAATTAAGGTCTTCTTTGTGGTTCTAACACAGAGGATAATCAGTAATTAGTCTAAGTAAGGCAGCTTGACTTCCTAACAACTTTGAAAAAATGGAGTCAGGCTGTGTTTCCCCAAGAAAGACAAGGGTACAGTTCACACATGCTAAACAGCTCTTAGAGAAATCAGAGCAATTCTCTTTCTGCAGCCAGGCAGCAACTGCCTTCAGCTTAGACAAATACTAATTATCACCAGCTAAATAAATTATGAGAGTTGAAGACAGCAAGGGAAAGGCGACCCCATCCGTGAACACGCTCACTCCCTTTCAGATTTGCCTCACTCAAGGTTTGCACACACATTATCTCATTTCAACCTCCCTGGCAACCTTGGAGGTGGGGAAAGAGGCGTCAGACTGATTCTTTATCGGCAGAAGCCCAAATTTCTTCTATCAGCAGAGGGCCCCTTGTCTCCTTCTTGTTTGCCGTCAGCAGGAAGGATGGCAATCCCGAGAGAGGTCAAGCTTCTAACAGTTGCTAAGTGCTTGCTGAGTGATAGGATTGTGACATCAGTGTTAAGTCGCCCCAGCTCTTCCCTTCCCTCCTAGCTTTCTCAGATTTACTGCTCAGCATAACTCACCAGTGAAAATAAATTAACAGAAGGCATGCCAGGCATTGGTAGTTCAGGATAGGTAATTTTCAGATCTCTTGTTTTGAAATCTAAGTCTTTCTTTGCCCAGCTCACTTCACTCTTAACACATTCAATTCAGGCACATTTCTTTCCAAAGACAGCCTCAAAAATGCCCCCCACACTTCTTCCAAATCCCCCCATAGCAAAGCAAATACATCATGAAAAATGCTGAACGCGTTTACAGGACGGCAAAGGGAAGGATTTCGGCCTTCAGCATACATTCTGAGCTTCCCAAGTTATTCCTGCCTGGAGTGGGAAATGGCGCTGAGAATTTTAGCGTTAACAGGGCTCTGTCTCACAGGTCAGGAAAGGGCAGGGCCTGGGAGAGCAGAGCTCCCGGAGACAGGCTGCTTTCAGACCTGCCCCCATCTCTCCCCGGCCCCAGCAGGATGACCAGCGTTTCTGCAATATCGGCTGCTCACTTTCTCTGTACAGCAGCCTAGAGAGCTTCTAATATCTTCGTTCTCTTGAAGTGTTTTTGTGTTAATTTCGCAAAGCCAGGGGCTTTCAATCTGTCCTCATATCCTAAATATTGCAGGGATCGGGACACCCCAGGTCCTCTGGCTGAGGGAAGAGAACTGACGGAGGGAGAGGTGGCGCCCTAGGGCCCTGGCCTGCCACTGGGTGCCTCTCGTGTGGGATCTGTCTGGATAAAGGGGCGCTGGGGTCCTGATTCAGCCACAGTGAGCTTCAGGCTCTGGGTTCCGATTCCAGCTGGGCTAGCTTTGAGTTCCTGACGTGGACAAGGACACAGCTTGAAATTCGAGGTCCTGATATGATCTGGGTCAGTGCCAGTATTCGGGGTTCTAACGTGAACAGTGCCTGCTTTGAGATTTGGGGTCCCGATGAGGGCACTCTGCGCTGGATTTTGGGTTCTGGTGAAAGCAAGGTTCGCTTTCTGCCTGGGGGTCCTGGTGGGGGAGGGTCTGTCTGGGATGCGGAGTCCTGTGGGCAGGACTTGCTGCGGGACTGGGGGCTCTGATGGAGTCCTGGGTAGTGTGGCAACTGGGGGTGAGGAATCAGACAGGTCTGCCCTGGAATGTGGGGGTCTTGATGGCTCTGAGATTTAGAGTCCTGATGTAGGCAGAGTTTGGTCTAGAACTGGGGGTTCAGTGTGGATAAGTTTGATGAGGGATTTCGGTTTCAAATACAAGCAGAGTTCGCTCTAAGTTTCGGCGTCCTCACACAGGCAAGGCTTGGTTTGAACTTTTCCTTACATGAATATGGCTGGCTCAGACCTTAGATGGGTTCTGTGGAGGTTTGGGGCTCAGATATGGGTAGATCGGACTTGAGTTCTGGGGTTCTACTGTGGGCAGAGTTTCTCTCATGCTTTGGAGCCCTTGTGAAGACACTTGGCTTGGGGTTCCAGGGTAGTCATGGTAGCTTTCAGACGTGGGCAGAGTTAGCTCTGAATTATGGGGTCCAGCGTGGGAAGCGTTCATTGCGCTGGCATCCTTACGTAGACAGAGATGGCTGAGGAGCTGGGGTTCAGATGCACGGCTGGTTGGGTAGAGACTGGGGGCTCAGAACTGGGTGTCGTCTGCTCTGGGATTCAGGGTCATGATCCGGGTAGTCTGCCCTGGGACTTAGGTTTGTGCTGTGAGCGGGGCTTGCCTGGGGATGGGACCTGAGGTTCGGACGCGGTGTGGTTTGTGCACAGACGCGCGGTCCCGAGGAGGGCTTTAGAGCCCTCGAGCCCACACGGCTATGGCGGACGCGGACTTCTGATGGTCACATGGTTAGCCTGGGGACTTGGGGTCCCATCTTGGGCAGGCTTGTTCTGGGCTTGAGGCCCTGCATGGACGTGGCTGGCTGGAGAACTGAGGGTTCTGATGTCCCACAGCCCAGCCCCGGGACTTGCAGTTTGCCTCCATTTGGGGTCCTGACACCAGCAGGGTTGTCCTAGGTTGTGGGGTCCCATTGAGGACAGGTGTTTCAGGCTCGAGGTCTTGTGAGGCTGGTTTGGTGACTTGGGTCCCTGATGAAGACATGGGAGTTTGAGGGTCCTGCTAGGACCCTCAGACACCGTCTGTCTTCGGACTTGGGGTTTGCTCAGGCTGGCAGGTAGCACTGGACAGCTTGCTTTGGGATCAGAGCGCCAGCACAGGCAGAATGTCTTGTGGATTAGGGTCTTGCTGTGGGCAGGGTCTGCTTGAGATCTGAGGTCTAATGTGAACCTGGCTTGTCTGGAGTTGGGAAGTCCCTATGTGGCCAGGGTTCGCTTTTCCGCTTGGGGTTTGTTCCGACATTTGAGGGTCCTCGTCTGGGTTCAGAAAGGGACTGGGCACCCCGCGCGTAGGGAGCGCACGTGGGCGGGAAGGGGTTGGGCAGGGGGCCACCTTGGTCCAGGAACTGGAGCCGCTGGAGGTTGAAGGGAATGCCAGCCATCAGGTCCAGCTCCTCTTTGAGCTCCCGGACGGTCATGTCGCTGCGGCAGTTTGTCACTCGGAACATCTCCTCGGAATCCTCCAGCAGCACCCGCATGGCGAAGACGTCTGGGGCCACGCTGAGCGCCAGACTCGT